CTATTTCGAGTTTCACTGATTTTGTTAGACTTCCATCTTAGTTTTGTATAAAAATAGCCCAGTATATTTCTTTTTATTCTTAATTTCAGGAAATGAAAAACACGAGATCGATCAGGGGTTGCAAAGTTCTACAGAGAAATTGTCATTACCTTCGTCAAAATGTTCTACTAAAATAGCTTCCCACTCGTAATTATCGTCCTCAGATTCGCCACATTTTTCCGTAAATGCCATTTCCGAAGTTCACTGACAACTGCTGTCGTCTATGTCACTTCCTGTCTTTATGTCTCGCGATGCATCGCGATAGTTGATTGTAATATGAATAGATCTCGCGTTATTTTGTGAAATATAATGAAAATGTTGTTGCTCAGCAACGTTTACTCGGTACGATAAGAACTGATAACCTAAACAAACGTGGCATGCATTACTTCAAAAGAAAACGCCGCGTTGCGAGTCTGTTGTATTACTAGTCTGAGGTTAAAATCAGATCATAATTAATTACCTAATTTGCAGAGGACAATGTGGACAATGCACAGACCTGATTAGTTTCGGGTTAAAATCAGTTTGTATTATTACCTAATTTGCATAATTAGCCAATTTTCAACTTTTACACAGATATCACATGTACTAATTATTCCATTTCAATGAAACTTGGTACATAGATGTTCTAGGACAATGCATAGACCCGCTCAGTTTTGGGTTAAAATCAGATCATATTAATCACCTAATTTGCACAGGACAATGTGGACAATGCACAGACCAGATTAGTTTCGGGTTAAAATCAGTTTGTATTATTACCTAATTTGCATAATTAGCCAATTTTCAACTTTTACACAGATATCACATGTACTAATTATTCCATTTCAGTGAATCTTGGTACATTGATGCTCTAGAACAATGCACAGACCCGCTCAGTTTTGGGTTAAAATCAGATCATATTAATTACCTAATTTGCATAATAATTCAAATTTGTTTGGTTTTAATCACATTTCATTGAAACTTCATACATACTAGTAGATGGTTTGTGACAGTACTTATCTTAATTCAATGAATCCTGGCACATATATATTCTAACACAATGTGATGATCTAATTAGTTTTAGGTTTATATACATCTATAATAGATACCTAATTTGCATAATAATTTACTTTTCAGTTTTCCACTAATTTAGTTAGGATTAATCATCACATGATAATGAAACTTTGTACATGTGCGCCCTGCAACAATATACAGACCTAAATCTATGCATAATAATTGCTTAATTTGTATAATGCTTCATTTGGTTCATTGAGGCAATCCACAGACATGATTAGTTTAATGTTGATAAACATGCATATTGATTATCTATTATTAGCCCATTTCTGATATCTAAAAAATCAGATTTAAATTGAATTCATCATAGAGGTGCTCTGAAAAACCATGGATGAAAAATCAAATGTATTTTCTGTATGTATTATATATTTTAATAATGTGACTCGCATTGTTTTCATGTTGTGCATCTCAAATAGCAGACAAAGCTTCTCGTTTGAAAGGCAAATCTTAAATTTTGAATTAATTTTAATGTGTCTCCAATACTCTCAGCACACAGGAGTTCTTTTAAGCTTTCTTTGATTATTCAATGTCATGTGACTGATTCTCAACCAATCATAGCATACGTAACAACAGTGAGATGTGATAAAGTATTATATCCAGTATAGTTACGTGATAATACATCATATTACTACATTTTTGTTTTTAATCAGATATCGATTCCTGTTTCCAGTCTTGAAATGTCGGACTACTTACTGTAAGATTCTATATACACTTCTGTCTAATGTGCATGTGTACAGTTACCTTAGCCTATCACCTTATTTTAAATATGTTGTCTTGTTTGTCTGGCTAAGTTATCTTTACATGTGGCTATGTAATTTATATGTAACAGCCTGTGAGCATGGACTGAATTAATACAATGTAACCAGAGACATTGATGATAATATTATCCGGCCTCAAGGTATACTCATTGTAATTACATAACATTTTACAGAGGACAATGTCATTTTACAGTGACTGAAAAATAACAAGAAAATATGAAAAGAACATGAACTGTCAGACCAAAAACAGAGAACAGAGTTTTATTAATGAGCCAAGCTGACTTTTGTATAAACATAGGGTGAAATATTAGGATATACAAATTTACACAAAAACACCTAGACAAGCAGCTTAATTAAATTAAATTAAATTAAATTTGTTTGGACAATATTTATTTCTAGCCATAAAATAGAATATTTATTACATTGGTTTAGAAAATACATTTCTTATTTTTGTGAAAAGCAATAAATGTTCACAGTGCTTACAAGGAATATTTCATCTGCATATAAACATGGATTACAAAAAATTGCAAAAATATATGCTTTTGGACCTTTAAAATAATAATAGCTAGTTACAAATCCCTTTATCCAAATATTAATTGCTATTGATTTTTAAGATATATATGCAGTTGTAGCCAATCACAGTAAGTTTACATTGTATATCAGGTCCCTGCTTTTATTTCTATCACTAAGAACATGAATATTGCATGTCTGTGAATATTCATAAATTATGAATAATTTCCATGAAATTAAAATCCAGGGTTGGGGTTTGGTTTCACAAATACAGGCTCATCCAGCCAGGCTTTTCTCTCACACACATTATTCACAGCTGTTGATTTATCTTAAGTTAATATGGTAAATTCCTGAATCCAATGGACACGTGTTCATTTTTATTTTAACTGCTACTCCTAAAAAATAAATACACAAAAAAACCTGTACAAAAATAAAGTTTTATTTCCAGTTTAAGCCATTTGAATATTTTGTACAGTTCGGTCCAGTTATAACTTGACTTCAAAGCTGCCTGTCAGCTGGCCTTTTCATAAAAACTTCTAAATTTGCAAAGCAAGTATCATTGCCATTACAACTTATTTTTAAGACATATTCCGGCACATTACTCTGCATAATTTAGTTTGAAATCATAAAATGTTAAAGCGGGGGAGTTGTCACCTGCACATACGTCAGATGGCCACAGCGTGTCATTGTTTACAAACAAATGTCTACCCATGAGCCTTTGAAGTTTTAGCGTGTGTTGTTATCGTTGCTTAGGACTCAATTCCTGCGTATGCGCAGGTGACGACTCTCCCGATTTAAGTGGTACTCAGACCATATTATATATATCCATTAGTATAATGTAGAAATGACAAGGGTGTCATTTTTTGGAAAGCACAGATGTCATTCATGTGATACATGTATGTCAACAATAATCAATTAGTTTCTGCCATTTGTAGATTCTAAATTTAATTTAAAACATTCACATTCATTTGAATTCTTGTTACTATATTTCATCAACACAACATTGTATTAATAATAATCACAGTAGTGTACATTTGTATTTTTCAAAATAATCATTCTTTAAAAATTAATCTGTTTAGCTACATGCCTCCTCTACATTCTGGCTGGTTTATCTCTTAGAACGCAACTCAAATTTTATTGTATTTCACAAAATAGGCCTGTGTCCATAGTCCAGTTTATGTTCATGTAGCTCAGAACATGGAGGTACCTCCATGCTCAGATTAACAAACACATTTGGGAATAACAAATGTTCAAAATATGGGTGCAGAATAAATCATCTAAATAAATCTATGTGACTAGGATTTGTAAATAAAGCTGTAATGTATTCATCCGCACTGCATGCATGCACAGCTGGCTTGAAGTATCGTCTGTTTTCGTGATCGCACCACTTCAACAAATGGCTGACTGTCTGAAACACTGCGTATGAACTGAAACAAATCATATTTCAACACAAAATGGAAAACAAAGTCCAGAAAGATGGGAAATATTTCAAGTCAATTTTTGAAAATAGTACTAATGTTAATGAGGATGCATGTACTTTAGAGAAACGAGAAGAAAATGCTGCTGAGATGTAAGTTTTTATCCACAATCAAACATTGGGGTAATAATCCTTTCATTTGTTTAAATCTAATTTATTCTTTTGTTAATAATTTTGTGACTGTAAAGATTGGTCCTGCTTTTTTTGTGATTCAAGGAAATTTCTCCAAAAGGTGGATTCCCTGTAACTCATGTGATGCCATACATACTGTAGTAACAAGAATCAGACAGTTGTGCACAGATTGTAGTGGTGTTATGATATCACTTATTGTCTTGTATGCAGTAAAACAAGTGGTGTTTTTTAGCACCATTTTAATATTGTGATGTTTTACTTTGCACCAATTGACAACCAAAACCAGAACAGAATAGTGTCTCCTTTGCATGTACATGGCATCGTGTAATACACAAGTTATCATTATTTTGTTATTTACTGCCATGTCTCATGTGGCAGTGCTTAATAATTTTACACGCTTTTTTACTGTGCAAGGCATCAACCACCACAAAAAACAAGGCAGCATGTGTGTGCTTGATAAACATTATTTCAATACCTCAGTTGTATATTTGTTTCTCTCTCGCATTAATTCAGTCCACTCTATATTTATTTTTCTGCATATATGTCCATGTAAATATTAAATTGTTCTCTGATTCCAATTCTTCATATCGCGATTGAGATCCAAGCCATATTGAATGTGATTGATGCATTTTGCTTTGTGGCTATAAACACTAAACATAATATTAATTAACATAGAATGTGTGTTCATCAGAGATTTTCTTCATCTTGACAACAAAAGTGATTTAGGGACATGTACATGTATACTTGAAGCTTATTGAATAAATCACTTATAAATTACAAATAGCATTACAAGGCTTGAACTTCACAGAAGCATTAAAGGCAATTGCCTCCAGGCCCAAGGAATTTTCAGCTTCTCTCCATACTATCATTTTCATGAAATTTTGCCTGGAAAATGGATGCCCTCTCAACTCTGAAATTCAGGCCCTGGTTTTGCAATCTGTGGAATAGTAATAATGGTAATGCAGTACAGATAATTTCCTCATAAGACCAACTCTATCCTCTATTAACTCTCCATATTGTTTGGTGTATTATAGGCATCGTGAACTGGAAGAGGCCCTTATTGAAGGATGTGACTTTGGCGCTCTGAGAAATATTTGTAAAGGAAGGAAAGTTCCTGATAAATTCAGGTCACAGATATGGAAGGTGGGTGTGTTATATTACATTGAGTCTGAGAAAGGGCAGAATACACTGTAGCCTCGCTATAACGAACTCTTTGGGAGACATACAATTAGTTTGTTATAGTGAAATGTTCACTATAATGAAGTACATAATACATTGGGTTTGTTGTGAGAGGGAGACACGCTATGTGTTCATTATATCAGGAAGTTCATTATAACGGTGTTCATTATACTGAGGTTACAGTGTATTAGCAAACTGCCTATCTTTAGTCTAGATTAGCGCTTGTACATAAAGACAGGAAGTGACATAGACGACAGCAGTTGTCTTGTATTCATGTCTGCTCAGGATAACCTCATTAAAACAAAGACTGCTGCTCGATTATAAGTTACCATAAAAAATATGTTATAATTACGACTACCATATAATTTGGTATAACTTATGATGCATAAAATGGTCACATTACCGTGAGTATAAACTGCTTTGTGCAGGCTTGTACAAAAGCCACAGTTCAGTTCAAGACTCCATAGCTCTCAGCAGATCTTGTCTTTTCATCCAATTATAATTTTTAAAGTGAAAATCAATGTCATCAATAATTCCAATGTGAGGCATATTCAGCCTGATTGCTCAGCTTAATTTAGATACATGGTATTTTGAAAGCAAAATAAGCTAATGTTAAGCCACCTGAAATGTTTAACACTTGAACTATTCAGTATATACATGTATACAATGTCTGTACGTTATTTGCATAATACATTACATTTCCCAAATTTTCTAATTGTGATTACCCTGGTTTTCATCCTCAAATTGTTGTGTATGAACTAATATTGTTGGACAATATTATTGCGAATCCATAATAACTCGGCATACCTGAATATATTATATGCACATGCAGAATTAGATAAACCAAATTTTCTCTATTAGGAGTGCACTCAGGTACATCATAGGTGTATTTTTAATGGGAAAAAAGTAATATTTTAATGATTCTGTATACAACACATGTAATTTTTGTATTATAGGTGCTACCGGTACTATTAAAAATGGTGCTTATATTAGAGCAAATACAGTACATGTTTTATCATATTTGATAACTATTTAAATTTTCTACTCTCTGCTAAATACAGACTATAATAACCATCAGTAAATTTCCTCTGCTAGGATTTTTGCAGTTTGATGATTTAATTGCGAAAGTCACTGTCAAATTTTACTGTGCAAAAATTTGTCATTGTATCTTAGTGAATAGTAATCATTGTAATTGTTGTGAGAATATACCATAAATATATGTTTGCTATTTCATAAATGTCACTAAACATTACATAATATGTTATGTATGAAGGTATTTGATTCAAACAAAACAAAATTAACAAAAATTTATAACTGTTGTGGTGTTGAATTAATTTAGCAAAGATTATGTATAGGTAATAAACTGTTTGGATTCAGAACAAATCACCTAAATCCACATATACATTCTACTGTGGAATACTTTATTTTCGCTGGAATTAATTTTCGCTGAAAAGGCTTTCTGGATGTTTTGTATGGAATTTATTTTCACTGATTTTTGATGAGTTTAATGTGAAATATAGGAAAAAAGGTATATTCGCTGGATTTTATTTTCATGGAATCATCCCTTCAGTGAAAATAGCAAAAATAAATTCCAAACGAAAATAAAGTATTCTACAGAATATGAATTAATTGACAATAAACCATTTCACAACATTCTGTGGTTGCGTCACTTTTCTCTTGATAAGTTCTCGCAAACATGACAAACCCTAATAAAATATAGGTACCTCAAATAACCAATACAGACAGGATAGTATTATTTGGGTTGTTGTGTTTTATGCACAAGCTATTCTGAGTATAGGGATTAAGTATTTGGTAACATATGGCATATAGATTGCAGGCAAATCTGACATGTTAGTACCTATGTCTATGCATTTATTACCATATGTTGGTGTTATTATTAAATATAGAAATACAATATCAATTTTTTTCTGAAATAAATACCATTGTGACTAAGTGAAAAAGATTATCATATTATAATGTGCATCTCCAATAGATACTTGTACTATGGAAGTGTATCTCTCATACATGTAAAAACATACATAAAACAAAAATTGCATTTTCTGTATGCTTGATTTAGCTGGCTTTTTAAACAGCTGCTCGAAGAAATTTTAAAAACTATACATGTAGTTATTTCAGCCAAAATATACACATGTTAGTAATTTGATAATTTTACATTGGATAATTATGGTAGAGCAATTTCTGTATTTATTGTTATGGATTGACCTCTGTGTGTGCGTGCGTCCGGTCCTATATCTTAGACATGCCTTGCCTAATTACATTCAATCTCTACATGTACATCATACATATTATTATACATATGCACATCAATTTGTTTCACGATCGGATTCAAGATGATCGAATGGCAGCCATTTTTGTGCTGAAAAATTATTGAAATCAAGCATTTCTGGAATTCCGGAACTGGATCTCAGCTGTTTACAGATGGATTTTGTTCAAACTTGATACATACATTGGATATTATGGGATGCATGTCATTTTGCTTTTCGGATCCGATTCAAAATGGCCGACTGGCAGCCATTTTGTTCTAATGATTGTAGTTCTAGAGCCGAACATGTATTCCTGACATGATTTGATGTTCAAATTTTATATATTTGTTATACAGATGTATTGGTTTGACGATCTAATTCAAAATGGCTGAAGAATGGCCGTTTTTCTGCTAAAAAATAATTAAAATCCAGCATCAGCTACTGGATCTATATCTCTGACATATTTATGTTCAAACTATATTACTATAAACAAAACTTAAATCTTAAATTTGATAACTAATGGACTATCCCATGCATGATTTGGCATATATGTATTTGCCTGCTATGATAAAAGTGGCAGTATGGAAAAAACATGAATTTCAACCCCTGTGTCTGTCAATTCTTTGACATCAGATCAGGATGCTTGTTTGAACACTAAATGAAATCCACTAAAATTGGGCTGAAAAATCAAACATTTATTTAGCATGACAGTAATAAACTTGCAAATTCTTAATGTACAGTGTACTAGGTGGTATTTTGATTTTCAAGTAGATTTGATGAATGGCAAGCTGATTGAAGTTCTCAAATTCGCTTACCGGTAATCTCAGTATTTAACTTTTAACTTCTTTTACATTTTACTACGCATTACAATACGTAGTGAGATTTTCAAATAATGTCAAAGTTGTCATTGCATGTACCGTATTTGTTCTATTAGTAGTACACAAGTCACTGACATAAGACAATGATCTAACTATTTTTTAATATTGTATTTGCTATAATAGAATTTTGTTATAATAGGTTACAATTACGAAACAGGTGGTATGCCTGTTTTTTTTAAATGTGTTTTTTCTTTATAAAAAGTCTCGCTACTGCAGATGCACTTAATATAGCAACTACAGTATGATTTGAACGCAACTTTCATCAATACTGCCACATATCTAAATTGTTCAGAATATAACGCCTTGTATTATTGACATTGGTAAATACTACAAAGAATAATTTAGTTTAAATTATTGATGACAAGGATACTCAGTTTAAAAATTGTTATGGAATTTTTTTAAAGTTTTTATGGAAAATCAAAGCTATCTGATTGCTAGTGTGCAGGTGTAATTGTTATGACACCAAATCAAAATTCAGTTGCATTAGCAGTATTTCTTGTCACTCATGTCTGTCTGTAGTGTGAGTAAAGGTCATGAAATGAACTTTAAAATCACAGCACATTTGAGTCCTATTATATTGTTAGTGTTATAAATGGTGTAGACTAATAGATGATGATTACTCTCTCTTTGTCAACTGCCACAACAAATTTACCTTTTCTAGTCAGTCTATATAAATAACTATTCACATGATCTGCTCACTGGTAACACCTTGAAATACCGTGAATGACTTTATTTTAGCTGATATTTATTTTTGATGATTTACCTCTACCCAGTATTCAGCAAAATATTCAAAGTACCTACCTACATATGTAAATGTAATTATTCTGAATTTTTCTCAGTGCACAATCTGATTGATTGTGGGGTTATTTTGTTATTTCTTTCCCGTTTTCATTATTTCGATGTCACTCTATTTTTTCTCTCTGATCATGAAATCTCCACATATTCAAAAAAAAATGAAGTGACACTAAAAATAATGAAAAAGGGAAAAAGTAACAAAATAACTGAACAAAGATCTTGTTTTAATCAGATTGCTTAATGCATGAATTATCAGGAACTTAATTTACCCGAGATGCCAACAATAATTATAGTGTTTTGTTGAATCTGTCTCATCTTGATTTAGATTGCATCAGTCTTAAATCTCCCAAAATGATTGATGAAGTGATTTGCTACAAATTTGAATCACAGAGATTATTTAACTTATTGAATTCCATAACTCTTGCCAACATTTTGTACATTTTTAGGTAACTTTCTATAATTTTGAACCAAGTCTCCAAATTTTGTGAATAATGAATAAAGTTGACTTTGGCACACATAGGGTTAAAATTATCATAAGGTCACATAAAATGAATAATTTGTTTCTAGTTAGCGCAAAAAAAGTTTTGAGGTAAAAGTCAATTGGTTTATAATCACTCACAATATTACTGGAAATGTTGCAGATACAATTAATGTAATCTTAATGTTTGTGTCAAAAAACATTTCCCACAAAACTAATCTAATTCACAGAGAACAAAAAGTAAAACAAAACCAAATGAATAACAAAATAAAAATAGTTTTTGGTGGGGGTTAGCAACTTAAAAAAAAAAAAAAGCTGCATTTCAGATAGTGCTTAGCAGTAGGGGGTGCAGATGACAAGTGTAATAGCTCAATTTGTTAGCTGCTTATATTTACATATTCTTATAAGATGGTGTTGTAAATTACCTTTCTGTCTGCGTCAATCACTTCACCTTTTGACCTGCACAGTAATTAGGTGCTAAATTGAGATAGTACATTAGGCAGCTGAACTGCGGCATTCCATGGTGATTTCTGTACATATTTCAACTCATAGTTAACAACAATTGTGGATCAGTGCCACAAGTCAAGAGCTTTTTGAAGGGAGAAAAGGGATATTGGAGGAGTGTTGTCTGATTCAGTGAAAGAGACTGGTCATGGTGAATGGTAATACTTCACTGCCAAAGACAGCATTTAATAATAAAAATTAATAAAAAGAATGTTTGATTGTACTTGTCCCCGCATTAACATAGGTCATGTCAAATGTCCACATACATACCTGTATTGCTTTCATTCAAGATGGCTGACTTGTTGTTATTTTATTTGTAAAAATGCATGAAAATAAAGTATTTGTACCATAATTTCAGACACAGATATCATTGATAATTTTAGCATTTTTAAACCTGCATAATTTTGTCCATTTGTAGCTTGTGTCTGTTTGATCCAAAAATAACTAAGAATTATAGAAAAATACATGAAAGTGAATATTCAAAGGGTTAATTGTGTGACTCATTGTATAAATATTCTATGCATTTCGTTATTTCAGATTTGTTTGAATGTTGCCGGTAAAGGAGACTCATTGGACTCATTTGATGGCATATTTGATATGACAGAGCAGGACACACTTAGAACTGATAGCAAGGATTTTATTGGTAAGATTTTCCTGCATTTATGCTTTTTTTTTGTTATTTTAGTCACTGTTCGAATGCAGTCCAAAAAAACGACTTATAGACATCAATGCGTGCAAACGTGTGTTTGCGTGTGCGTCCAGACATGTATCTTAGACATGCCTGTACCGATTACATTCAAACTTCACACATACATTATACATATATACAACAGTTTATTTCACGATCTGATCCAAAATGGCAGCCATTTTTATACTGAAAAATCATTGAAATCAAGCTTTTCTGGTATTCTGGAACCGAATCTTGGTCGTTTACTGATGGATTTTGTTTAAATTTGGTACATACATTGGACATTATGGGACCTTGATGCATGTCATTTTGTTTTTCAGATCAGATTCAAAATGATCAACTGGCGGCCATTTTGTTTTAATGAATGCAGTTCTCGAGCCATATCTCTGACATGCTTTGACTGATTATGACTGATATATCACATTTTATAATATAGTGATATTTATTCAAGTATACTTTTTTTGATTTGCAGATAAATTCAACAACTCAGAAGAAGAAAAGTTGTCGCTTGTGAGTGACTTGGAATCTGTAATTACGTTTTACTGCAAATCACGGGATTTGACGTACACAAGTGGCAATGGCTGGTTGGATATACTTGGTGCTTTTATTGCCTTAAACCTTGAACGATCAGATCTTTATAACTGTTTTTATGCTGTTATGAGTAAATATATTCCTAGGTAAGTAAACATACGTACTCAGCCTAGTTAAAATACAGTCTATGCATGAACTATGCAGATGAGTGCATATAATATTGCAGTATAAAAGAGATTCAAACTGCTAATACCGTAAAAGTCCTAATATAAACCGTGCTTTATATTAAAATGTATCAATTTAAAAAATTGGGGTCGAAAGCTAGAGTTTGGGGTGCAGTTTATATTACAAACATATTGCAATCACTTAATGGGCGTGGTCATTTTTTCTCACAACAAATGCAATACACCGTATAATCTGTCGAATAAGCTTCACTCTAATTTAGGAAGAGTGAGACCCTAAAATAGGCGTCATGAAATGTTGAAAAATTACCGTCAATCATAAAAAAATACTTAATGTAATTATTTCTTCAGCGAAAATAGCGAAAAAGTATTTTACAGTAATTTATTCTTTTCAGAATTTCATATTGGTGTTATCAACTTCTTTGGATCAGATTTCCTCTAACAGTAAAGCTGTATGTAAATCACCCAGTGATGCCAATTTGTCAATCACTGGTTCAATTCTAACTTGGCCACTTTTCATTGGCTACATTTGTATATCTGGAAGTACTAAAATGAAACTAACTGGGACTATGTTATAAAATAACTTGTTATTCATTTAATGAATTTATTCATGTCCAGATATCAACTTGAAGCGATTAAAACTAAGTAAGAGAACCTTAAGGTTGTACTTTCATAATACAGAATGAATGAAGTCTGATTTGTTTCATAATCCCTGCAAGATTATGAATAGCAAGTGTTGTACTCACAGTAGGTGAGTGAGAAAATAATGCGGTATTTATATATATTTCATTTCAGGGATTGTAAAAAAGACAGTAAAGCATTTAGTTTATTCAGATTATTATTATTATACCATGATCCAGAATTATGTAATTTTCTAGATACAAAACGAGTAACTCCAGATTGTTATGCTAGGCTTTGGGTAAGTCTTACATGCTATTATATGTATTTGTGGTGTGTAAAGGGTGGTAAGTCTACCCTCTTGTGTCTGGTGGCACTGTGCTTCTTCCTAAGCTGATACCGTAGTTGTCTGGGTAAGCACCAAAGGTCCTGAACATGGATAATTGGCCAAAAATAGGGGTGGGCATATGGCCGGACATCCCCTGCAAAAAAAACGAAAAGTCGGAAAAATTGACGACACGCAAATCGAACTACAACAGGGAAAAGAATGGCAAATGTAAACATGCAACGAAAATAAATGAACAATATGCACATTATAACGTGCAGCACTGAAAGCAGAACCTGAAATTACCTATTTTGCTATCACAGATATTTCACATTTTTCAAGAATTGTTATTAGAATCACAACAAACTGCAAGGAAGTCAACTGTTAATATAATGAACAAAAAATAGGTTTACCTAGATAACCATGGTATAACATTTTGATAACATCAAAAGGGAGCATTCCTGGGCCTAATTTTGTGCAAGTGGATGTACATGTAATTCTGTAATTTATCACATATAATTAGAGACTTGTGTAGTAGGAGTTATGTTCTGTATCTTTGTACTTACTGAATGATATTTTCATTACAGCTTGGTAGTTTATTTACTAACAGTTGTACATTATCGGTTGTACAAGCAATGTGGGATATTTACGTACAGCAAGGGGATCCATTCCTTGTCTTCTTCCTATCATTAGTCATACTTATCAATGCAAGGTAAGTAGTCATCAGCTAATACCAATAGTTTAATGGTAATCAGGGTCTGAAGTTCATTTGAAGTGGTGCCCCCAGGGCTTGGTTCACCTCCCCCCTAAAGGCCTTTGTGCCCCTTCCAGCCCTTGGTCCCCCATTCCTATAAAGCCCTTGGTTCTCCATTCCTCTAAAGCCCTTGGTTCCCCCTCCTCCTGAAGGCCTTGGTTCTCCCTCCCTCTGAAGGCCTTGGTTCTCTCTCCCTTTGAAGGCCTTGGTTCTCTCTCCCTTTGAAGGCCTTGGTTCTCCCTCCCTCTGAAGGCCTTGGTTCTCTCTCCCTTTGAAGGTCTTGGTGCCCTCTTTCCTGAAGGCCTTGTCTATATATATCTAATATTTATTTTAGAATTTCAATCAGTCTTTGAAAGATTTTAAGACATTTTGTCTTGAAAATTGGGTGCACTGAGAATGCTAAAGCTCAAAATTGGAGCAATCAATGTCAGTGTACATGCATGTGAGGTATATTTGTGGATATTAAGGTTTGTAAAATAAATTGTCTTGCCAACTTACTCTTTTTAGATCCTGCAAACTGGAACTTTTAGATTGACCTCTTGACTTCTGTTTTTGTGCATGTGACATTCAAACTTCACAAATACAAGTACATCATACAATTATGTTTGTTTCATGATCTGATTAAAGTTTGCAAATAGTGACAATTTTTATGCTTAAAATTCATCAAAATCAAGTATTTCTGTAGTGTATGGGTGGATTTCAATATACATTTGACATAATGAGACCTTGGTGCATGTCAATATTGGATTCAAAATGCTAGACTGGCATTCATTTTGTTTTAACAAATGCTGTTCTCGAGCATATCTCTGCCATGTCTAATCATGTTAAAACTTTGTATATACATCATACATCATGTTGCACATTCGTTTGACGATCAGATTCGAGATGTCCATCAAACAAATTGTTTCTTGTATGTAGTGTGGACCGCTAATTTTGTATTTTTGTTATTATTTGGTTTGAGCTTTAATATTCGCTGCCAACCATTACAATTTCCTACTTCTGAATTCAACGCTTTCAGTGTCTTACATTACAAAATACACTGCTTGTTTGGTGAGGAAATCCTAGAGGGAAGTTATAACAAACATCTACCATTCTTTTTATTGTGTGTGTGCAAAACAAAGTGACATCATCCCACATATTTATACTGAGAATTAACATTAAAATTAAAACAATTTGGATTACGAAATCACATAAACCATATCAATATTCCCATAACAACGTCTTTTTCTTCTCATTTTGTAGAGAACATATTTTAGCTTTAACAGAAGAAGGTAAACAAGCCATCATTACGAATATTTCATCATTTCCATGTCAGCTAGAAGCAGATGATGTTGAAGATTTCTGTACATTAGCACAATATTATGCATCCAAAACACCACAGTCTTTTAGAAGGGTAAGCTAGTCTATGTACAAGTATATAAATACAGGTACTGATTAAAGCTTAGGCCAAAAAAAAAACAAAAAACTTATGTTGCCCTCAAGTTGAAAAATTTGGTCGGTCGGTCGGATTTTTTTTTTTTTTAAATTCGTGAAAACTAAGAGTATTGTAAATAGCCAAGGTATAGGGACTTCATAGTATTCGGAACATGTCAGAGAAATACAGATCAACCCAAGGTTCAATGTCGCCACTTACAGGGACTCTGGGGATCAAACAACGGTCCGGGATCATTAATTTTTAGAGGAAACACTTTTTTACTGCTTAAAATGGTGAGTTTTTAATAGTTTGGCCTATTAAAAAAAAAAAAAAAAACGCGATCCGATATTTCATATTTTTCGGTCGGTCGCTGAGGGCAACAAAACCTTTTTTTTTGGGCCTTGTACACACTTAAGCCTATGCAGTAGTCATATTAGCCAGAATGAACCAACAATGATGAGAATTTTGCCAGAAAGTATCAAGAATGGAAGAATACAGTCAATACAGAAACTGTTGAGCTTGTCCATGCGTTAGAAAAATGTACAAATAGTGAATCATAGTCACTTGATAGTTATGGCACAAAATTGACTTGTACTACTTGATGTTGTTTATATGCTGTATGGTTGATAGCTGCATAAGAACCAAGTGAATATATATATTCTTTGCATTTAAAACAGTCAATTTAAAACCTAGAAATATATATATATACAACATTAATCCAATAACACTTTTTCAGTATAATTCAACATATGGTAATGATTTCTGTATTCATTCTGCCATATTACTGGTACCGTTGGTATATTTACCTTTAGATTGATACATTTTACCACAGAATATAAACTGTATACACAGGAATGACAGACACTACCAAGGTATTCACACACATGTATGCTATATTTTCACAAAATGATTCATTTACACACTGAAAACAAAGAATAGAGATCATTTATTAGCACTAATTAGAAGGCTATAGAAATTAAGAAAGAAAAATTCCCACAGTGAGAAAATGTCCACCATTTTTTATCTTGTTTTAAATTTTATTGGCCATACAGCCAAAAAATAAATGTCAACTTCTATTCAGTTCTGTTCCATACAGTGCTATATTCAGAGCATGTGATACTGAAAATGAAATGATTTGTTTTTCCAGGAATATCAATCCATCTTTGGTTTATCCATTGCTAATATACGTAATGATGAAGCGGCATCTCTCTCTCAAGCATTGTGCTTACCTGTGTCAATGTCAGAACTTTTACAGACCAATCAACAATCAGTAACAACAACAGATGTAAGTAACTTATTGATTCCATTTTATATCAAGTTTTTTAGCTCCGCTGTCGACTTTGTCGAGCGGAGCTTATCATATGAGTGATTGTCCGTCGTCCGTCGTCCGTGTCAATGTTTTACTTTTTCGACTTCTTCTTGAAAACTACAAGCCTAAATGCTTTGATACTTGGTGTATATGTACCTTGGGTAGACCTCTCTTAGGTTTGTTCATTTCATGTTGATATCTTTAATTCTCTAATTTTGGTGAATATTTTTGTCATTTTTGGTAAAA